GGTGGTCAGTGTACCTCAGAGGAAGTGGAGAGTGAGTTCTCGATCCCAAAGCTGTTCTTGCACGGGGGGCTCTTGCTGATGCTCAGGGAATCGTTGTTGCAGACTGTACGGAGGAAAGAAGTGAGGATGAAGACTCAGGGGTGGAGCCTGAGATTGCCAAAGCAATAGAAAGGGAGATAAATGGGTCAGATCCTCCCCACTGTGACCCCCTCTCCTGCCCACCCCACAGCACTGCTAGGAAAGGGCACGGGGTGATGATTCCCACTGGTCCCCTCACCATTGGGAGGCAGGATGTACTGGGCCTGGCTGCCCGGGCCATTGCTGCTGGTCACCACGGGGAAAGGGACAGAGAGTTGGACGTTGAGGAGCTGCAAACGCTCCTTCTTGGCCGTCAGCGTCATGATCTGCTCCTGGAGCCGCTGGTTCTCCTTCTGCAGCGAGTGCAGGGCTTTGAGCATTTCTACAACTGCAGGGAACAGAAGGGGGGAAGGAGGGCAGGGTCAGGGGAGAAAGTGGGACACAGGGAAGAGGAGAAGGGGATCCACAGGAGGTACCACACTTAGACCACACTGGGGGAGGGAACTGGCCCCAGATCACAGCCCCACCGCCAGCTACTCCCCCATGGCACAGACTAGTACTTTGTCCCCCACCCGGCTCCTTTGCCTGTGGGCAAAATCCCAGCTGGCTCCCACACAGACATGCACAAGGACCTCTCCTCCACATCCCCATGCCATGAGTGACTCACTGTTTACGCCGGCTTCCCCATTGCCCTGCTTCTCCAGAAGCTGCTCGATGTTGGGGGTGGCCTGGGGGACATTCTCCAGCTGCCCACTGCTGCTACAGGACACTGTCTGGTCAAAGAGGGTCGGCAGGCTGCTGATGGGGGACCTGGGAAAGGGTTGGGGAGATGTAAGAGATGGGACACAGTCTGGACTTGCAGTCCCCTGCTCCCTTCTCCTCACATCTCCTCTGCCGCACACTGGGAGTGGCTGCATCTCTCCCAGCCTCAGTTTCCCCTGCTCTGCTTCAGGAGGAGCATCCTCCATTCACACAGAATTACAGAATCATGGGGGCTGGAAGGGACCTCAGGAGATTATCCAGCCCAACCCCCCTGCTAAAGCAGGTTCATCCAGAGCAGGTTGCACAGAGAACCATCCAGGTGGGTTTTGAACATCTCCAGAGATGGAGACTCCACACCCTATCTGGGCAGCCTGTCCCAGGGCTCTGTCACCCTCAGGAAAGGAGTTTTTCCTCATGCTTAAGTGGAATCTCCTGTGTTCCAGCTTGTGCCTGTTGCCCCTTGTCCTATTGCTGGCCACCACTGAAAAGAGTGGTCCCATCCTCTTGACACCCACCTTTTAGATCTTTATAAACATTAATAAGGTCCTCTTACTAATAAGACCATTAATAAGGTCTTCTCTTCTCCAGGCTAAACAGACCCA